TGCGTCTCACTGGGTCAGTCCGGTCTCTGCGTCTCACTGGGTCAGTCTGGTCACTGCGTCCTGCATCTCATTGGGTCAGTCCGGTCTCTGTGTCCTGTGTCTCACCTGGTTGGACCTCCTCGGAGCAGCAGGCGAGGACACAGTCCCGTTCAGAACGGACCAGCCGAGGGTTCATGGCCGCCGCCGCTCGGCTCAGGGCCTGTCTCACATTCACCGTGACGCCCTGGTGCTGCCTGGAGAAGCACGTCTCTGGGTCCAGGGCCGAAGCAGGAAGTGACATCATCATGATGAACAGAGAGGCAGAGATGAGCAGCCTGAGGATAAGTGAGGGACGGTGGATGGAGAGAGGAGTCATGGCTGCAGATCAGAGAAGGTTCAGACGTTCTGCGGAGAGAAAACAGCCGAAGTTTAGGGTTTCAGACTGAGCTACAGCTCCTCCACCAACACGGGAACAGTCCGGTTCTGTTGGACTTTGATTATCTCAGCGTCCCAAATCTGTCTGTCCCTCAACAGAAGGACTTAATTTAGGAACTGATCAGTGGGGAAAAAATAGAAATCTAACAATAGAAATAGCTCCTGCAGGAGGCGGGTTCTATTTTTAGACGCCTTGAAGGAGGTCAGAACACAGGAACCAAGAACCCACAACTCAGATCCAACGAGTCCACGAGCTGCATCCAAAAATACCTCCTGCCAAGAGACGTTTGTCTTCAAGAAGAAAAATGTCATCCTCACTGATCTGAGACCAGCTCTCAACAGAAACTCCTAAAGACGCACCCCTGAGACCAGGTCCCCAACCTGCAGGAGGACACCTGAGCACCTGGAGCACCACGTACAAGGAGAATATGTCCAGATAAACCTAAAGCCCGGATCACAAACAACTGCAGAACTCACCGTGTTGCTTTTGTTACTAAACCTCCATTAGTGGGTCCACAGTCCACCCTGCAGGACTTTAGTCTCCTGTGAGAAGACTCTGTGGGTCCACAGTCCACCTGCAGGACTTTAGTCTCCTGTCTGTGGAACAGTCTGATTCTTTCATCTTATCTGAGCTCCGATCACCTGCTGACAACCGCTGCACCTTTATTGTGACCCGGATGTGCTGCTGTCGGATAAAACCTGATTCTGGTTCAGGGTTGGACCATCTCAGTCAGCCTCAGAGTCCAGCCATGAAAATGTCTCCATCCTTCAGTTTCTGATCCGTTTACATCAGAACATCTTTTCTTTTTTAACAACTGAAAACAATCTGAAGATAGAAGCTGCAGCGGTTCTGACTGGGTTCTGACTGGGTTCTGACTGGGTTCTGAGGGTCCATTCAATCATTGTAACACACAAAAACACATGAATTATGTCAAGAACTTTAAATCTGAGTCCTAGTCCAGAACCATCTACAGTACATATTTGGTTCTGGTCAGAATGAGTGTAGCTGTTCCAGAACCCACCGAGAACCTAATCAGAACCACAGCCTGATATCTGACCCAGTCCAGGTCCAAACACTGAAGGTTCTGCTCAGTTTTTTTCTGAAGGACCAATGGAGGTTATGGAGGTTCCCATTCACTCAGTGACCTGTCAATCAAAAGCTAGGGATGCATGTTACCATGGAAACCAGACTGATGGGAGGGACTCCAGAACACAACGGTTCGACCAGCTATCTGCTGACTGGATCATCGGACCCTGGATCACAGGAGGATTTATTTACATTAGAAGTTTTTAACTGGACCGGCTCTGCTCTCTGGACTGTAAAACTAACCAATCAAATCAAAGTTCCACGTAAACAGCACGTTCTGCAGGTTCTAACCGTTACTGAAGTCCGTTAGAATTTAACGTTCTGCAGACAAACAGAACTTAAAGCAACACAAACTGAAGGTTTTGCTGTAAAATGTCATTTTGTTTAAATGGTAAAGGATAAAACTTTTGAAATAAAGTCCAGTGAACTCTGATTGGTCAGCTGCTGTGGCCTGATCAGACTCCGCCCCCAAGTTCAAGATGAGTCAGCATCTATTACAAACTAGTTAATTTAGTTTTAACTGTTCTGCTGAAATCTACCATCATTCACACATGAGGTCTGGTTTTATTGGAACGACAGAGAACCTTTCAGGTTCTGTCCGAAGACAGATGCCTCAGGGCGTGTCCTGTACCAGTCTAACATGTCCTACTGTCCTCATACATGTCCTGTACCTGTCTAACATGTCCTACTGTCCTCATACATGTCCTGTACCAGTCTAACGTGTCCTACTGTCCTCATACATGTCCTGTACCAGTCTAACGTGTCCTGCTGTCCTCATACATGTCCTGTACCAGTCTAAC